AGATTTTTGCATGGGGCTATATGAAAATTCCTAAATAATGTTTGCAACAATCATTTTAAAGTACTTACAAGGTAGTTTTGGAGACTTTGACCACTGGCAACATCCCCAGAAGAACTTTTTCTGATTTCAAGTACTTTTTCAGATCAAACACACCAAGTTTCTCATCGGACATAAGCAGCACAAAAGTCAGAGCTGACCACTGGGAGGTGGAGAAATTTTCATATGCCTTTGTCTCTGACAGCAGGTACTTTTTCACTTCTTTAACAAGAGAGTGGTCATTCAGCTCATTCAAACAGTGGAAAAGATTGAGGTTTTTATCCGAATCCTTGATCTCCTGGCTAATTTTCCCTTTGATGTAGTCAATTGTTTCCTTGTTGGTCTCTGCGTTATGTTCTGTCTTTTTTAGCAGGTCTTTCAGTAGATTTTGATTCGTTTCCAGAGAGAGACCAAGCAGGAAGCGAAGAAACAGATCCCAGTCTCCGTTTTCACTATCTAGAGCCTTGTCCACTGCTTTCTTGTAAAAGTCAGAAGCAGGCAAGTCTGCAACCACTGAGGTGGGTTTTGAGAGCAGATTTTCACCTTTGTTATTGAAGGCATGAAACACAAAAAAAGCTGCCAGAAACTCTTGAACACTCAGATGGACAAAACAGAAAAAATTCTTCTGGTGCAGCCCACAACCTTCTCGTGTAACCCGAGTAAATAATCCAGAGAACACTGCAGTTTTTTCTATGTCAATATCACACTCTGTCAGGTTTTCTTCAGTGAAGAGAAGGTTTCCTTTCTCTAGCTCCTCAAAGGCCAGTTTTCCCAAAGATATGATTGTGTCTTTGTTCCTTGTATTCCAGCATGAATCTGTTTCAGAACTCTCACTTGTCTCCTCATCACCATATTTCACATTAGCCTGTCTGCATTGCAGCAAAAGAAAGCAAACATACATGTCAGTCAGTGTCTTGGGCATGCCTTCTTCTTGGTTTCGATTCACAAAGTCCTCCAGAACTTTTGAAGTGATCCAACAGAAGACTGGGATGTGACACATGATATAAAGGCTCCTTGATTTCTTGACATGTGACAAGATTTTCTCAACCAGATCCTTATCATTGAATCTCTTCCTGAAGTACTCCTCCTTCTGGTCATCATTGAATCCTCGCACCTCAGTAACCCGGTCAACTTTATCAGCAGGGATATTACTGGATGCTGCAGGTCGGGAGGTGATCCAAATCTGAGCTTCAGAAAGCAAGTTTCCTTTGATAAGGTTTGCAAGCAGATCATTCACTGAGGTTTCCTTTTTCACATCAGTCAAATCCATACTTTGACTGAAGTTTAGGTCAAGGCGACATTCATCAAAGCCATCCAGGACGATCAGAATTTTGTACTTGTCATAGTTGCTTATTTCTGATTCCTTCATAGCAGGGAAGAACTGATGAAGAAGTTCTTCGAGACTGTGCTCTCCGTCTTTTTGCAAATTCAACTCCCGGAAAGGAAGAGGAAATATGTAATGTATGTTTTCATTGGCTCTACCCTCAGCCCAGTCCAGCATGTACTTCATTGATGCAAACGATTTTCCAATGCCTGCCACTCCAATTGTCAACACAGTTCTAATGGGTATATTTTCACTTTCAGGTTTGAAGATGTCGTGAAATTTAATGGGCTTTTCTTCTTTTACCGGTTTGAATTTTGCTTGAACCTGTCTGGCCTCATGCTGAGCATTGACCTCTCCCCTCTGCCCCTCTATGATGTAGACATTTGTAAAGATATCATTCAGAAGAGCAGAGGTTTTCTGCTTATCAATCCCCTCAGACACCCGGGTGAATTGCTCCCTCAGCTGAGATTTGAGTTTTCTTTGACTTGTGACATCAGGCTTTTCTGTAAGAAAACATTTGTGCATGAATTATTAAAACACCAAGAGTTATGTGGTTGTTTTTTGTTTTCGTAAATGCTAGTGAAGCTCTAAAGGGTTACATAAGCAAAGAGTGTTCAGTCATCTGCCCCCTTTGTTGTAGTGTTCATTACATCTGTCTACTAATTCCAAAAGCTCTCTGTATGTCTCTCTGTATGTGGAATGCATATCTCAAGAATTTTTCATCTTATCACACTTGGTATGTGTATTGTTAAAACCCCT